ATGGTCCGATGCAGTATGCAGTCAATGTGTTTATATTATATGCTATGATTATGTTATGCTATGTTCAGTTAGTTCCGGACCTCGGTCCGATGCAGTAGTTAGAGTGCTTGATGTCTTCGTGATTCAAGCATGTTTTGTGTTATGTGTTCCGGACTTTGTTCCGATGCAGTATGTAGTATATGTATTCATGCTAGTTGATATGTTTATGCTATGTTATGTTCAGTCAGTTCCGGACTTCGGTTCGATGCAGGGGACAAGGTCCCAATCAGTTCCGAACTTCTGTCTGATGCAGTTAATTCAGGACTTTGGTCCGATGCAGAGGGCAAGGCCCTGGTTAGTTCCAGACTCCGGTCCGATGCAGTTTCCGAACTTGGGTCCGATGCAGTGGGCAAGGCACAGTATGTGTTTACATGTTATTGTATGGTATGTGGTAGTTTTGGGGAGCTCACTAAGCTTCATGCTTACGATTTTCAGTTTTGGTTTCAGGTACTCAGTTTTTAAAAGAGGAGCTCGGGAAGATTGCAGTGCACACACCATCTGTTCAGCCTGGGATGTTTATACTATGATATATTTGACAGTTGTTAAGATATTTTGAGATACATTTTTTATGATTGTTATATGACGTTTGATGAATATGGTTTTATTACTAATTTAAAACGAAATTTTCAGACTGTATTTTTGGGATATTTCATAAAATGCAATCTTGGGTCTTCATAATCTTCCATGCAAGAGTTTTGGAGCCTTATAGTTGATTTTGAGTTAGGATTCTAGTGTTGGGCTCATTGTATTCATGCATGGCCATAAAGTTTGCAACTTTATGGCTTTATACATTCCATTATGAGTGGATCCAAAATTTGGACATGACGTCTTAAGCCATTAAGTTATTGATTTGGAAGTTGGAAAACAGCGACCAAACGCCACACATTTGCATGGGAACGGTCGACGTTCGGATGCCAGACGTCATATGGGGGAATCCATTCATTCTCAGCTGAAGCTCAATGGGTTGATTTTGGGCCCTAGCCATTAGGGGTTTTGGGTTTAGTTGAATTTGGCTTTCGGTGATTATTTATGTTTTGGGCCTTTTGACTATTTGGTTTTAGGCCTTGGTGTAAGATTCGTGACTTGAGGTAATGCTAATTATTTAATCTTTTAATTTATTTGTTGGACTATGAGAATTAATATTAGATCATGATTTGGGACTTTATTGAGTTGGGATGGCTGAAGCCGTATGATGGGTGTATACGAAGCGTAGTAGGAGCATTCGATGCCGGGGTATGATACACGTACGCGCAACGTACCAAGGGGTATGCGCAACATACGCAAGATGACTCAAAACCCTAATTTTTAGGGTTTAGGCCATATATATTATATATATATATATATATATATATATATATATATATATATATATATATATATATATATATATATATGTCATTTTGTCCCAAACCCCAACCTCCTTACCAGCCTCCTTAACTCAGAAACCCTAGAAACCTAACCTTCTTCATCTTTGTGTGATCTTGATCTTGTGAAGTCCATTTTGGTAGCTTGGAGCTTGGAAGGAGAAAGAAGAAGTTGGTGAAGAAGAGTCTGTGTAGCTTGAACTTAAGGATCTAAGACATCATCATCATTTAGCACTCATTTGAGGTAAAAAACTTAAAACATGCCTCATGAATGCTTAGATCTATTATGTTGAGTTTTTGGACATTTTGGTCCCAAGAATGGAGCTTTATGGTTCCAAATCTGTTTCTAGGATTAGTGTAGCCACCCTTGGTTCGATTTGAGTCCCTAAGACAAAAAGTTTCCATCTTAAAGGTCTTAATGGGTTCATGCAAGAGTTATGGCCATTTTCATGGAAGTAGATTGCTATACTTTGGGTTTGGGTTAGTGTGGTTTATATAAAGTAACCAAGTTAGTGACTTTATGGATTAAGACATTGAAGAGGACTTGGATCTTTGATTTTAGCCTGTGGAATAAAGTATTAAGTGCTTAATGGTATAAGTGGCTTAACAGAGCAGTATGTTGGGCATACAAGCCCGTACGCACAACGTACAAGCCGTGCAACCCGTACGCTTAGCGTACAAAGGAGTACTCCTCGCATACTCACTGGAATTGGGCTTGCATCATTTGGGACTTGGTTTCGGCCATTCCTTGGACTTTGCTATCTTGGGTCATAGTGGGCCATAAAAAATCAGTTATTTTGGGCTAAGAATATGTTGGGCTTAAGAGAAGGCCCATTTGAGGAGTTGGGTCCAATTTAGAAAATTAGGCTATTGGTGGGCTACTAGTGGACTTAGGAAGGCTATCTAGACTTGGGCCTTTCATGTTATGGTTTTGGGCATTAAGCATGGGCCAAATTAAATCACGAGTAAAATGGTTATTTTACCCTAAGAAGGATTGTTAGTTTTTGACTAAGTGTTATTGTGGTAATGATAGCCCGGGAATCGTCAGAGCAGTAGTTCGAGATTCCTTACCATGAGATTCTGCATTCAGCTTTGCGAGGTGAGTTTCCTCCTATAGGAATGGGTCAAAGGTACCAGTGCTGACCCGTTTGTATGATTATATGTTCCGAATTTTGATCCGATGCCGTGAGGTGCCCGATGAATGTTTATATGCTTTCCGGACTACGGTACGTAGTCGGGTGATACTCGAGGAATGTTTGTATGCTTGATGTCTTCCTGATTCTTGCATGTGTTTGTATTTGTATGTTTCTAGATTATGATACGATGTCGGGCAATGCCCGAGTAATGTTAGTATGCTTCCGGATATCGGTCCGATGTCGGGCGGGACCCGAGGAATGTTTATATGTTTATGTTATGTGAATATTTTATTTGTATTTGTTGATATGCTATTATGCATACCATGCTTTGCTCGAAGCCGAGCAGGGCCCGATGCCAGACGATGTCCGATACCAGGCGGGGCCCGATGCAGGGCGAGGCCCACGATATGTTTATATGTGATTGTGTGCTTATGTGTATGGTATATGGTTATTTGGGGAGAGTCACTAAGCTTCGTGCTTACAATTTTCCTTTTTGTTTCAGGTACTTTTGGTAGCAAAGGGAAGAGCTCAGGATAGCTGCAGTGAACACACCATTATGTTTAGCCTGTGATGATTACTCTGATGTTTTGATTTGGAAACTCTAATAATAATGTTTTTGATATTATTTGAACTGTGTTTCGATAATGTGTTTTGATAACTATGGTTTAATGATTTAAAACGATATTGTTGGTCATGATTTTTGGGATGTTTCAAGTTGGTATCAGAGCCTTGGTTTGGGGGATTTGGGCATACTTTCGGCTGTGTTTGAACTCAAACTGAGGACTTTGTTTGAAAATTTTCAAAAGAAAATCATTTAATAAAAAGGATTTCGAAAAGAGAAAAGGGTGTGGTGCATGCAATCAGCCGAGCTCAAGTAAGTTCTCCCAAATTTCCAATACATGTTTGTTATGATATGATATGATTATGAGAACTACATGCTACATTAGTGCTAAGGATCTAGGAAGGATGCCTTGTATGCCTACTATATGTGCTTATTGAACTGCATGCTAGTACTGATTAGTCAGTGATATGATGGCCTAATTAGAATATGCTTGGTTTTTATTACTCAGTGCACGAATGCTGCTTGCTTTGTGCTTTTAGGACTTCTAGTTATCTTTAACTAACTAGTAAACGAATATGTTAAGTTACATATTACGAGGACTAAATAATTTCAGAAGGTTAGGTTTAGCGCTATTTCGCAGCTCTCGTTTGAGTCTTACCATTGTAGGGGAGACCTCTCATTTGAAGAACTATCTGGTCTTAGTAATATGTAATGGTATTCGAGAGCTATTTAGGGAAAGCCTAGACTTTCGGCTGTGTTTAGCGCTATTATGCAGTTGATGACGGAGAGTGGGTCGGAGATTACCCTAGGGAAAGCCTAGGATGAGATTAGCATGAAGAGCAGTAGTAGTAGAAGGGACTTGGTGGAGTCAAGGAAATTCTTGAGGAAAGTACAAATAGATGTGGAATGTAGTATGGGGCCATACTACTGAAAGTAGAGGATCGGTACTCGAGACAAGGAAAGATGAGATAAAACCAGGGAACTTGTAGTGTGTGTGATTCCTCAAGATATGATGAGTATTCTGATGATTGTGATGGTGTATTTTCATAATGGTGAAACTATGCACTAGACCAGTTGGCAGTTCTGGCGCAGGCGAGGGATCAAGCTCGGGCTCTGGAGTCGGGCAACTCGATGACCAAATGAAAGAGTTTATTTCATCTAAGATTGCGCGTAGTATTATGGACCAGACTCCTATGATCATCGGTACGGTCAAGGAGGGCATTTTGGAGATTCTTGACGAGAGTTTGGGTGCATTTTTCACCGAGATGGCGGCGTGCACGATGATATTCAGGGAGTTCAGAGCTTGTGGAGCTCCAAACTATCATGGGGCTAGGGACCCCATTGCTAGCAGTAGATGGTTGTATGTAGGGATGAGCAATAGGACCGGGTAACCGACCGGAACCGGTCCCGGAACCGGCACCCGATGGAACCGGTCGGGCCGGGACCTATACTACAAATTTGTGATTATTTGGAACCGGGACCCGGAAAGAACCGGCTATTGGAACCGGCCCAAAACTTGGAACCGGCCCGACTAGAAAACCATGCCACATTGTCACGTGGGGATAACTTGATGAGCACGATCGAATCAGCTGCTGCTTGCTATACACACAAAAAAAAAGACTTCTTCCTCCCATATACTTTATAATCGCAATCGGTCATTCTCATAACCAAAAAAAAAAAAAAAAAAACCGCAATCGTTCTTGGCTTCTTGTGGGATTCCCACCTCCTGCCGGCTGCCACGATCCCAAGTCCCAACTCCAAGTGCACGAATCACGATCGAACCCTACTCTCTTCAACAATCCGCAATCAGCATCACTTCATCATCATTCAATTGATCAATTCTTCATCTCCAAGTTTCCATCGATTACAAGTTTCCATCTCCAAGTTTCAATCGATTTTCAATTCTTTATCATCATTCATTGATTTTCATCTTCAATTGCTTCAATGATTCAAACTATGGATGTTCATGAAGATCAAGTAAGAGCATATATTTATATTTCATGTTTTAAGATTATATACTTCAATATTAGCTTCAAATCTTCAATGCTTCAATGATTCACCAAATAATGGTATGCATGCAAGTTTTTTTTCTTTGGTTTTGTTGTCTCCATTCCAAATATATGCATTGTTATCCCTACTTAATTAAAAGATCTTGATTCTTGATCATAGTCTCATAGTGGAGTACTTCATATACGGATGAAAGGTTGTACATATAATATATGTTTCATGTTTTAAGCTCCATTTAACAATGTACTTTGTAGACATACATGCAAATTTTTTGTTAGATTAGTTTATTGTTTATAATATGAATGTAATTATGTAAGATTGTCAAAACTACGAATTTGTATAGTACTTTTGTTATATAATTAATGTGTAAAATTGACATTGTAGGATTTGGATGGGCTACCAAATGTACCATCATCAAGATACCGAAACTCGGATGCTCATGATGCCAATATTGAAGATGGTAATCCGGCTAATTGGATTGGAAAAGACTTTGATGACCAAGTAAGATTAGTATTTATTTATTTCTTTAGCAATCTGTCCAAATATTAAATTGTGCATAACTAGTTCAATTTAACTTCTTTTGACCTAAATCTTTTTTCTACATGTAGATTAGGATTTTTAGTTGGGTTTACACTATAAAAACGCTTGATTTGGTTAAAAATTGAATGAGTTACAAGCCCCGCAAGGAAGGGTGTCAAATCTGAATTTTTTTTGTAACAGCAATAAAACGTGATGTGATTTTGTTGTTCAAATGTTCATAACTCATTCAATTTAACTTGTTTTGACTTGAATCTTTTTCCTACATGTAGATTAGGATTTTTAGTTGAATTTAGATTATAAAAACGCTTGATTTGGTTAAAAATTGAATGAGTTACAAGCCCCGCAAGGAAGGGTGTCAAATCTGAAATTTTTTTTTTTTGTAACAGCAATAAAACGTGACGTGATTTTGTTGTTCAAATGTGCATAACTCATTCCATTTAACTTGTTTTGACCTGAATCTTTTTTCTACATGTAGATTAGGATTTTTAGTTGAATTTAGACTATAAAAACGCTTGATTTGGTTAAAAATTGAATGAGTTACAAGCCCCGCAAGGTAGGGTGTCAAATCTGAATTTTTTTTTCTAACAGCAATAAAACGTGATGAGATTTTGTTGTTCAAATATGCATAACTCATTCAATTTAACTTGTTTTGACCTGAATCTTTTTCCTACATGTAGATTAGGATTTGTAGTTGAATTTAGACTATAAAAACGCTTGATTTGGTTAAAAATTGAATGAGTTACAAGCCCCGCAAGGAAGGGTGTCAAATCTGATTTTTTTTTTATATTTATTTTTCAGCATTTAAACGTAATATGATTTATTATATGTTTTATTTTGTGAATATAGGATTATGGAGACGATTCAGAAGAAGATTATATAGAAGAAACACCGGCATTGAATGTTATACCAAGTGATGAATCAAACCAAGAAGAGGAGCCACAAGAACAACAACCTTCAAAAAAACGAAAATTTGCAACCACACAAAAACAAAGACAACCAAAAAAACCAACACAAACAAAAAAACCACCACCACCACAAAAACAAACACAAGAAAAATACCCAACAAAACCAAAACCCAAAAACAAAAAAAGACTCAAAAGGAGTTAAGGGACCGGATTAACCCAACCAGACGAGGTGAGGGTAGAGATAATTGTACCGCTCCTGTTTGGAAATACTTCGAGATCGAATGGATAAAGGAGGACGATGGAATTGAAAGAAAGTGGGCCGAATGTAATTATTGTTTACATTTACTAGCCGTAGATCCAAACCGGAATGGTACAACTTCAATAAACAAGCATTTTAATGGGTGCAAGTTAAATCCAGACAACATACCGAAACAAGTTGATGACAAACAACAAAAGTTGTCATTTATGAAAGCTCCTAATGGTGAGGGTCATGTATACACATGGAAACATGATGATACTAGGATCCAACTTGCCTTGCTAGGGCTTTTCACCATCGGGAAACTACCATTTAAATTCATTGAAAACGAGGCATTCATAGAATTTGTAAACGCCCTCAATGGTAGGGTGAAATTGCCTTCAAGGCCTAAAATTTCTCGTGATGTTGTGTCATTCTATTTAATGGAGAGGCAGAAGTTGTACAAACATTTGAGCAACCCCAAAACAGCCATCCACTTGACAACCGACACGTGGACATCCTCGTGTCAAAAGATAAATTATATGGTTGTCACGGCCCACTTCATTACCGAAGATTTTGTCATGCACAAAAGGGTAGTCAACTTTAGAGAGGTTGATACTCACAAAGCTGAAGACATGGCCCGGGAGTTGCTAATTTGCATAAACGAGTGGGGATGAAGAATGTCATGACGATGACCGTTGATAATGCCAAGACAAATGACGCGGCAATCAACATCATTGTGAAAGAACTACCGGGTATTTACGAGAATGGCAAACATTTTCACATTAGGTGTATGGCTCATATCATAAACCTAGTTGTGAAAATGGGGTTAAAACACGAAGTTTATCATGTAAAAAACCTACAAGATGCGGTGAAATACATTAGAGCCTCCCCGCAACGGATCAAGACGTTTAAACAAGCCATCAAGGATGCGGCTGTAGAAAGTCAAAGGTTTTTTGTGGTGAAACTCCAACAAGGTGGAACTCTACCTTTGAATTGCTAAGATCAGCGTACGATGTGAAAGACGCATTTCTCGAATATAGCCATCAAGGTAAATAAAATCAATTAATCAAATATATTTCAGCACTAAAATTAGCAATATTTATTTCTTTAGCAATCAGTCCAAATATTAAATTGTGCATAACTAGTTCAATTTAACTTGTTTTGACCTGAATCTTTTTCCTACATGTAGATTAGGATTTGTAGTTGAGTTTAGACTATAAAAACACTTCATTTGGTTTAAAATTGAATGAGTTACAAGCCCCGCAAGGAAGGGTGTCAAATCTGAAATTTTTTTTTCTAACAGCAATAAAACGTGATATGCTTTTGTTGTTCAAATGTGCATAACTCATTCAATTTAACTTGTTTTGACCTGAATCCTTTTCCTACATGTAGATTAGGATTAGTAGTTGAATTTAGACTATAAAAATGCTGATTTGGTTAAAAATTGAATGAGTTACAAGCCCTGCAAGGAAGGGTGTCAAATCTGATATTTTTTTTCTAACAACAATAAAACGTAATCTGATTTTGTTGTTCTTTTTTTGTAGATCCAATGTTTCAGAAAACTGTGGGAAGGGTACCATCACATTCAGATTTTGAGATGATTAAAAAGATGATGGAGTTCCTTGAGAAGTTTAAGAAGAAAACTGAAAAAGTTTCGTGTTCAACAAAGCCTATCTTCCATACGTATACCCGGGAGATCCTAGATATAGAGCAACATCTTAGGAAACATGAAACCAACCCGGATTTTATGTTTATGGTACCGGATATGAAAGATAAATATGACAAATATTGGGGTGACTATGATACTATAAGTGATTATGTCTTCTTTGCGACATTGTTAGATCCTCAATGCAAGTCAAAGTTTATGAAAGTTGTTTTTACCCAAATGCTTAAAGCCAAAAACAAAGATAAAAAAATGTCCGATGATGAGATAGAATCCAAAGCACGTGCAAAGGTTATTGATATTGAATGCAAATTGGACAAGTTTTTCAAGACATACTTGGAAAGGTCAAACATGACCTCATCGTCTCAACAAGAAACTCCCGAAGAAGTTGTTAATTTTGATGACGAAAACGAATTCTTTGGAAGCTATATGACTTCGGGAAGTTTCCCCTCGACTTCGTCAGAAAGTCAATTGCAACGATACTTAAACGAGGACCCAATCGGATTTGACAAAGGATATGATATCCTCACATGGTGGAAAAATAATGCGGTGCGGTTCCCGATCGTTGCTCGAATGGCAAGAGGTATCGACCTTCTTTTACTCTAATTTAAAATTTTAATTTATAAATTTGTGTCGTGTATTATACACTAATTTGTTTATTAATAGATATTTTGGGGATGCAAATTTCCACCGTAGCATCCGAATCCACATTCAGTAATGGTCGTCGAGTAATTACCGACTACCGTACTAATTTGTCCGTTGTGATTGTGGAGGCATTGATATGCACTCAAGATTGGCTAAGAAAGAGTAGCTTGCCTATATATGACTACGACGAAGTGCACAATGTGTTAGCTGACGATGACCTCGCTATCGGTAATACACTAATACTTGTTACATCTTATTTTTAACTTCTTATTAGTATTTGTTACATTTTAGTAAGTAATAACGTTTTTCTTTTGAATTATATATAGACATTGTGGATGATATACACAACTTGAAGCTAACGGGGAAGAGATCGGGAAATTAGTCAAAATATCAAAGAAATGTTGGAATCCACATATTAGACTTTTTTTTTTTGTTGGTGAAACTTGGAAGTATATTTTGAATGTCGAAAGTGTATTTTGAATGTTGAATGTTTGAATGTTGGATACTTAATAATATAACTTTGACGACATCCATGTTTAATTTGCTTGTAATAATTTAAATAAAAGACCCATGGTTAATTTGCTTCAATGTTGAATCGTTTATTAAAATGTTTATTATTAAAATGTTGATTATTTACTAGTATTTAAACATCCACTTCTTCATAAAAAACCAATAAAACGCAAAGTAAATTAGTCGTTGGAATTACTCGAAAAACCGGCAAAAATCGGACCCGAAAAACCAATAAACCGTTGTGATTGTGGAGGCATTGATATGCACTCAAGATTGGCTAAGAAAGAGTAGCTTGCCTATATATGACTACGACGAAGTGCACAATGTGTTAGCTGACGATGACCTCGCTATCGGTAATACACTAATACTTGTTACATCCTATTTTTAACTTCTTATTAGTATTTGTTACATTTTAGTAAGTAATAACGTTTTTCTTTTGAATTATATATAGACATTGTGGATGCTATACACAACTTGAAGCTAACGGGGAAGAGATCGGGAAATTAGTCAAAATATCAAAGAAATGTTGGAATCCACATATTAGACTTTTTTTTTTGTTGGTGAATCTTGGAAGTATATTTTGAATGTCGAAAGTGTATTTTGAATGTTGAATGTTTGAATGTTGGATACTTAATAATATAACTTTGACGACATCCATGTTTAATTTGCTTGTAATAATTTAAATAAAAGACCCATGGTTAATTTGCTTCAATGTTGAATCGTTTATTAAAATGTTTATTATTAAAATGTTGATTATTTACTAGTATTTAAACATCCACTTCTTCATAAAAAACCAATAAAACGCAAAGTAAATTAGTCGTTGGAATTACTCGAAAAACCGGCAAAAATCGGACCCGAAAAACCAATAAACCGTTGTGATTGTGGAGGCATTGATATGCACTCAAGATTGGCTAAGAAAGAGTAGCTTGCCTATATATGACTACGACGAAGTGCACAATGTGTTAGCTGACGATGACCTCACTATCGGTAATACACTAATACTTGTTACATCTTATTTTTAACTTCTTATTAGTATTTGTTACATTTTAGTAAGTAATAACGTTTTTCTTTTGAATTATATATAGACATTGTGGATGCTATACACAACTTGAAGCTAACGGGGAAGAGATCGGGAAATTAGTCAAAATATCAAAGAAATGTTGGAATCCACATATTAGACTTTTTTTTTTTGTTGGTGAAACTTGGAAGTATATTTTGAATGTCGAAAGTGTATTTTGAATGTTGAATGTTTGAATGTTGGATACTTAATAATATAACTTTGACGACATCCATGTTTAATTTGCTTGTAATAATTTAAATAAAAGACCCATGGTTAATTTGCTTCAATGTTGAATCGTTTATTAAAATGTTTATTATTAAAATGTTGATTATTTACTAGTATTTAAACATCCACTTCTTCATAAAAAACCAATAAAACGCAAAGTAAATTAGTCGTTGGAATTACTCGAAAAACCGGCAAAAATCGGACCCGAAAAACCAATAAACCGTTGTGATTGTGGAGGCATTGATATGCACTCAAGATTGGCTAAGAAAGAGTAGCTTGCCTATATATGACTACGACGAAGTGCACAATGTGTTAGCTGACGATGACCTCGCTATCGGTAATACACTAATACTTGTTACATCTTATTTTTAACTTCTTATTAGTATTTGTTACATTTTAGTAAGTAATAACGTTTTTCTTTTGAATTATATATAGACATTGTGGATGCTATACACAACTTGAAGCTAACGGGGAAGAGATCGGGAAATTAGTCAAAATATCAAAGAAATGTTGGAATCCACATATTAGACTTTTTTTTTTTGTTGGTGAAACTTGGAAGTATATTTTGAATGTCGAAAGTGTATTTTGAATGTTGAATGTTTGAATGTTGGATACTTAATAATATAACTTTGACGACATCCATGTTTAATTTGCTTGTAATAATTTAAATAAAAGACCCATGGTTAATTTGCTTCAATGTTGAATCGTTTATTAAAATGTTTATTATTAAAATGTTGATTATTTACTAGTATTTAAACATCCACTTCTTCATAAAAAACCAATAAAACGCAAAGTAAATTAGTCGTTGGAATTACTCGAAAAACCGGCAAAAATCGGACCCGAAAAACCAATAAAACGCAAAGTAATTTAGTCGTTGGGTACATCAAAATTTAGCCGGTTCCATACTCGAAAAACCGGCAAAAACCGGACCCGGAACCGGAACCGGTATAACCGGAACCGGTAGAACCGCCGGGCCGGTTCGGTTCTTCATTTTTGCCGAATCCGATTCCCCGGTCCGGTTCGGTTCGGGCCGGTTCGGGCCGGTTCGGTTCTTTTGCTCATCCCTAGTTGTATGACGTCGCCAACACCTTCCGTACTAGCCGATGTCCCAAAGGGGACAAGGTCTGACATGCTTCCTGTCTCCTGAAGGATAGAGCACATGACTGGTTAGAGGAGGTTGGGCATGCTATTGGAGATGATGTCGCTCTTGATGCAATGACCTGGAGTAATTTCTCAGCCAAGTTCAGGGCCGAGTTTGCACCTGTGATCGAGGTGCAACAGGTTGTGAGGGAGTTCCACGATCTCTAGCAAACTACTAAGACAGTGACTGAGATCACCACCATGTTCAGGGAGAGGGCCCTTCTTGTTCTGTAGTACGTGGTCGAAGAGGAGATGAAAAAGGCATGAAACCATGAGATGTTGCAGAGTGATATCCGCCAGTTTGTGAGCCGATCCAGCTGCAAGACGCTAGAAGATATGATTGCTAGGGCTCGAGAGAGGGATCAGGATTTGGAGATGGAGAATAAGAGGAAACTAGAGGGAGTTCAGACAGGGAGTTAGAGAAAAAAGCCCAAGGTATCGAATCACAGATCGAGGAGCCAACAAGCCTGCAGCCGTTGCGGCAAGTGCGGCAAGATGCACAAGGGGGCATGCATGGCGGGTGGTTCGGCCTGCTTTAAATGCGGCCGAACTGGTCACGTCAGCAAGTACTGTACTGCTACCACCACCACCATGACAATATCTTATCTGATTTGCTTTCAGTGCAATCAAAAGGGCCACAAGAGGTCCCATTGTGCGAGTTTAGCAGCAGCAGGATGTGACATCCCCATTTTCACGGCCAGAAAAGACCGATTTTGTTTATGCTTTATAAAAATCAGAGTTCTTCTTTTAATAAAAATGTTGCGGAATTCGTTCCCAGAAAAACACGATAAATACGTTATTAAAACATTTTCGAAGAAACGTATTTTATTCATTTTAAAACGTTTGGGATGTCATCGTCAATACAGGAACATAAGCATAAACAGAACTTACATTTATTTACACTAGTGATCTACATCTCTTTAATCTCTCAGTGTAATGTGACTTCATATCAACACCTGTTGTCACACCCCAAAACCAAGAACGGCGGAAATGTTCGGGGGCGGAGGACGTCATGTAAGTATCACAACACAGTAAATGTAAATAAGCAAACAACATCATCCATTGCATTAAATATATAATTTTAATACAAGCGTGTTCTGTACAGTATAGACACCAAAAATAATGTATATCAAAATAATAAGATGAGTCTTGAATGCGCTCCATCTTCTCAAAAGCTGGCCTCGGTACCTGTCTACTGATGACCTAAGAATACAAGTTATTTTGAAAGAGTTTATCAGCATTAAGCTGGTGAGTTCATAAGCATTTTAGTGTCGGTATTTGTCATTCAAAAATGTTTGAACATGTATCAAGTATAAGTTTGTAAAATGTATGTAAAGGTTTGCAATTGTTTGTAAAAGTTTGAATCTCTCAGAAAAACCTATATTTTCTATTAAAGTAGCCTTCTACCAAGGCTTAATTGTTTTGTATGCTCGTTTGATGTAAAAGTGTGTAATTTCCCAAGTGTAACTATCATTTAACAAAATATAGTTTGTACATTTACGTTTAAGTGAGGTTATCACTAAAAATATGTAATGGGTAAATCATTGTAGTACTGTAGCCTTGTATTATAAGAACTACTGTTGTACTAACTACCTTAAACCGGATTCATATTAAGGCATTTACGTGATAAATTGCACCATACTATCGACAAGTAACAACGACATAATGAATGGTCGTAATAACGGAATGACGTTTGGCACCCGCAGACCTGCAGGTCTGGCTGTAGCTAGCAGCAAGGTGTAGGATTGTCAATCCAGTATAGATCTATACGCAAACTCACGCTCTCCCTTCAAGAGAATTCTGGCTACAACTCGATCCATGACAGTTAAGTCATGCTCCGATTTAAATCATAATAATAAAGTATTCATGTATATGTACTGTTTCTCGTTCTAGTATAGTTGTATATGTATTGTTTCTAGCATCATTGTATATGTATTGTTTCTATCATTGTATATGTATTGTTTCTAGCATCATTGTATATGTATTGTTTCTAGCATCATTGTATATGTATTGTTTCTAGTATAGTTGTATATGTATTGTTTCTAGCATCATTGTATATGTATTGTTTCTAGCATCATTGTATATGTATTGTTTCTAGTATAGTTGTATATGTATTGTTTCTAGTATAGTTGTATATGTATTGTTTCTAGTATAGTTGTATATGTATTGTGTTACCCCGATGGTAACTAGCTATTGATGTACTGATAAATATGAATATGGAAGTACTTTTATGTCTATACATGTATATATGATATATAACTAATATGGAAACGACCCTCGGATGGTCACCCGAAATCCCACCAGACCACATCCAAATCGAGGAAAAGGAAATAGGGCAGATGGCTTTCCTAAGCCCTTGCGAGAATCTCGAAAGGCCCTATGTACCTAGGATTAAGCTTCCCATGCTTACCGAAGCGTATCAAGCCCTTCCAGGGTGAGACTTTGAG